GATCAATCTGTGTGTTTTAAGATTTGTTCCCTTTAAAACTCTATCTACACATTTAATAATACAAGCTTTAAAAACTATGGCATGATATATAAAGAAAACATTTATTTGAGACCGTAAACTTCTTCACTCCTCAGTAAAGGTCAAATTGTAGAGCAAAGTGTTTTCAAAGGGAAAGAGTCAGCTGACATAAGCAAACAGCCTTCATTATCCTGCAGACTCCATGTGCATGCCATGGGTAACCATGTTTGCTGGAAAAACTCAATCAGTAATGGAACTCTGGGTAGAGACCATCTAGCACTTTCATCTCATGTGGGTAATTCAAACGCTAGCTCTGAATAAGCCCACAATTGGCACTTTGGCATTTATTGAGTGAATCCCAATTACACTGTTGCAAATACTCATTTTCTTTTCTTTTCTGCAATGTGCCTAACACATAAGTGTCCCCTGGAACATAAAGTAACTTAAGATGTTGAGATTTCAAGACAGCGGGAGATGAGCACACTTCAACCCAGGAACAAGATTTAGATCACATGGCAGTCAAAAAAAAGGCAAAAAAATCAAAGAAAGAAATACAATAAAAGCACTAAAATATAGTGAAAAATGAAAAAGCATGATGGCATGTGGAAGGTACCCCTCCTAGGATGTGATTGCTTTGTTTATGTGTGCCATACAGGAGCTGACACTTAGAAACACATTCAGCAATGTAATTAAATCACTTTTCTCTCACAAGTGATCTGGAGACAAAGGTAACAGTCAAAATTTGATTGGTCTGAAAGTTCTTGTTAACAAGGGACAGGTGAGTAACTCTTGGGAGTTATTTCAATGGAGAAGATTTAATTGAAAAGTTGTAGGAGTTTTAATACTATACTTGTCAAAAGCAACAATCTTCAAACATCAGCTTTATGGAATCCCATACTCTGGCCTTGAGAGTTAGGACTACAGGATAAAGCTTAAGGACGAAAAGAGAGAATTTTAAGGGGCACTGCCAAAACACATGTTTGAAAATGTTTAGCTCACAGTATATGTAAGTATTTGATTGATACAGATGTTACCTACACTATCATCATTATTTTAGTAAGTGATTAATTTATCACGAAAGTCAGGTAGGCTGTCAGTAATATTTTGTGCTATATTGCATTATCCTTCCACATTTTCTAAATTTTTCTAGCTTGCTTTGCTTCTAGAAAAGGTCCACTACAAGCATTTAACCCAATGCAAAAATGAGGAAGGGGAAAAGAAAAAACTTTTAACCATATGTAACTTCATATCCAGTGTAAATTTTGGTTTTAAAATCTCATAAAAATCTCTTTCACTCTTTCTCCCTCTCTCCTGCTCCTTCTGTCTGTAAATCTGCCTTTCCAATAAAAATAAGTAAATAATTTAAAAGATCAAATCACTTAGCACATGTAAAGTTCTCAGTAAAGGGCTGGACAGGTAATAACAATTTTAAACGCTAGTTTCTCTGAGTATTCTCACGTCTGAAAATTATATACTTCTGTCACAAATCAAAAATTGCTTGGCTGACACAGAATTCTAATTTCAAACTATGTTTTAGTGAGTGGTATTATTACTACTGTTATATTTATAAAATGACAGTGACAATTCACACCATCAGGTTATGTTGTAACACTTCCCTCACCCCAAACTACAGTACTTCTCACTCTCAACCTTCAATGTGCTATTTACTGTCATGAGGTGTAAGGCTAGTCAGAGGTCAAGAACCTGAGCACTCCAGCATGTGTTAATGCATAAGAATATTGCAAATATGTACTTAACCATGTTAATAATAGTTACCTAGATCAAATATTAAACAGCCTAATTATTTTCTCCTTAAATGACAGATCACATGAATTTTTACATTTAATTAAAACAAAAAATATACATTAATGTAACATATCTGTTATAATTCAATGAAATGTTACGAAAATATGTAAGCCTTCATATTAACTCAACCAAACTAAGTTTTGAACAAAGTAGTTGCAAAATGTCTATCAGTTTAAAATTAGAAGCATTATAAATTATAGTACTTAATATTGGGTAGAATATGATGATAATTAAGCTAAAGTCAGGCGCTTCACTCCCGGATGCACCAGTTTACTCTGCTTTGTTTCAGAGACACGGGATGAATCACAATTCCCAGCTGTCTTCCAAGTGTGTGGTACTGATCAAGAGGGATGCACAGCCAATATGAGCACAGATTTGTCCAATTCCATTGCAGTGACAGGAAACCACCATTCAGAGCACATTCCCTCTGTAGAGAGTGGGTCAACAGCTTAATTTTTATTTCAGCCTGGCACCGAGCAAGTGTCTCTTACAGACAGATGCTTAATGAGAGCTCTTTGTAATATTAATAATGATGTAGAGAAGAGACACTTAAAGCCATATAGCAGCTTCATAAAACAGGTAATTTCCAGATTGTGAGATACAGAATAGATTGTACCCAATTTATCCAAATACTAATCCCTAAATCTTCCGGCAGCAAGTGCAAGTGCATATTAAACTCAGGCTCTGACTGTCTTGGTCTCTGATATAACATTAAGAACTAGCAATTCAGCATAATAGGGAGCTATAATCGAAGGAATTCTTCTGTTACAGTTCAGGTTGGAAAGAAAATGTCCATTTCTGCAATGATATATGACTAGCGTGGATCAAAATGACAGATTCCAAATTTAAAGTATCAAATCAACTTACAGAAAGGTATTGCAGCATCTTTGACTTCGTGGAAATGACTAGAGGAAATTAATTCAAAAAGAATAAGGGAGTGGAGAGGAACTGAATGTATTGTAGTGGAACAAAATGTTTCCCACGTTTCCTGGCGAAAATATTTTAGGTAGTGTACTGAAGGCATCCCACATGGGCGCCACATTGAGTCCCAGATGCTCCACCTTTGGCCTACAACCCTCGTAATGACCTGGAAAGCAGTGGAAGGTCACGTCCTCGGGCCCCTGCCACCCAAGCAGAGACCTGGGAGAAGCCACCAGCTTCTGCATGACGGGGCCAAGCGGGGAGAGACAAGAGATAGAAAATTTTCTCTTTCTGTTTTTTGCTCTCTCTCTCTATGTAACCCTGGCTTTCAAATAAATACATAAGTCCCACTTAAAAGCCAACTTTATGGAATATTATTACTAGTCTAACACTGTTAACAGATTCCTCTGTACAAAACTGTACTTATGCTGGTGAATTAGACCTTACTGAATCTTGAGATGATGAGCACACCTGATGATGATTCCCTATAATGTTAGAGATTACACGAAGAAATAAAAGCCCAGTTTCTCCATTTTAGATGTTATAACTGAAAAATCTATTCATGTCCATGAGAGTAATAACATGTAACATTTTATATATTAATTTTAATAGTAAAAATTGAGAAATATATCCAAATATTGGTGACAGCTGTATCGTTAAATGGCATCTATTCTCTCGTGACTGGAATACACACACACAACCAAACACACAAACACACACACACACACACACCCAAACCAGACACTAGAATAGCAAGCAAAATAAACAATGAAACAGAAATCATTTCTATGATCAATTAATAACATATTGGAAATTTACTAACAAGGAAAACTTTTCTGTCATTGCTGCAATGCTTTGCATAAGAAAGTGGCAAAATCTCTCTAGCTGCTTTCTTTAAAAATTAAAAAAATATACAAAGTAGAAAAAACATAAAAGTACGACCGAGAAAGTAGGTGCAAAGAAAAGACTATCTTAAACAAAAATTTACTGTGATAACATGCCTCCTGGTAAAAATGCAAGAAGCAAACAGATTATGGAATTAACTGTTTAATTCCCTGTTCAATAAAATTATTTTAACAGATTATCACATTTCATTTAGAAGTCATTATTTTTGCTTTTTGTATTTTCCAACATTGAAAGAATCAGTATATATGTACCTCATATGAGCCATGACTATATATATAAATATTTAAAATATTTTTCTTTAAATAAGATATGAGTTTCTATTGCCGAAATTATGTCATTATTTAAATTAAGAATTTTTTAGTGACATAAGTGAATTCATTACTATCGGTATTTCACATTTATGCAGCTAAACATTTATAACTATCAAGATCATTTTTGAAAGGTTAAAAAAAGTCAAATCGTTTTAAGTGAACATTTTGCATTCAAAGATTTTAAATATCCCATATGTATGTATCATATATGTCTATATAATTATACAGTAAATATATCTGAAATCCACTTAATAATGACACTCACTGTACACCACTAATAGATAGTTTTCCTACCTACATGTCCATATCTGTTTGTGGCTCTATTTTGATTTAGTTCACTTCACTAACATGTGTGTGACATCTTCCTTTTTCAAAACTTTTTAATGAGCTTTTTCTTTTCAACAACAAGGGCAAAAACAGGTCTCAGAACAATTATACACAATATCTAAGACTCTTGAAAAACAAATATTGTTCCTTAATTTTCACATTTTTGCAAGAGGATCCGTATTACCCCCTCCATGTGTGCACACTGGACCATTACAAATCATCAAAGCATGACCTTCTGAAAGAGAAAACACTGCTTTATCATCAAGTGCCAGGTCTTTTCTGGCCGTGTCAAGGGGCCTGCCCTCGCTCCTGCCTGATCACACACGGAGACATCACAGAGACAGCCACAGGCAGACAATGATGGGCAATGACAGTTTCGTCAACAGTGTTTCTGCTTTGAGGAACAAACAAACATGAGGGCAACGTGATGTCAGTGTTTGAAGAAAAATTTCTTGTTTGACAACGGTGGCATGCAGTACAAATCCCTGTGACTTGTCTGGCTACAGCACTCGCTATGTTAGAAATGCAGTAAACAGCTGTGACAAATGGTACATGTGCTGCCTCCTTCCTTCTGTTGGTGACCCACTGCACTTTCTGGTTAATGTTTAGTTATTCCAGCCAAAATTTAAGCAAACTTTGTCCATGCTGTGGTTTCTTTTAGAAACTATAAATAAAGAAATACAATTAATATGCTGGTAGGAGTAACCTTACCAGGTGAAGATAAGGCAGAGTAAAGTAGATATTAAAATCAAAACTTGATTAAACATTGCAGACTGTGTACGTTGAATGGCTCTGTGCAGATCATTCTAAAAAAAAAACACAGAAAAGGCATATTGGAAATTTTGATAAGTGCACAGTATTCATGAGTTTTGATTATATGTATTATCATGCATTATATTTCAGCTATTGAGTATACCTGATACATTATTTTAAATGGACAGAGTAGCATACAAGAGTCTTCAAAATGTGAAAAATGAAAACAATTATTTCAATGAAAAAAACCTGGCAATCCAAGCATATCTGGAGGTCATCCAAAAGTTCATGGGAATTTTTATTATGATCAAACTATGCATTAAATTTAAAATTTTTAATTCCATTTTCAAAACGTTTAGGAGTATTCTTATATCTATTTTTGCCTGAATCAAACAAAACTTGCTATCGCCTTCATGCTACAAAGATGGCATTCCAGGAAGACCACAAAAGCACTGACAGAGATTATACACTGATTCCCCTGAAGCCCAATACAGCAAGCATGAGCAAAGCTCAACAACTATAATTTCAAAACATCAAAAAGTAATAGGACATATTAAAAAAGGAAGTAATAGCTGGGTCAAAAAGAGTCAAATGTTCTTTATCTTTAGTAACATAATGTAGGCCAGGTAATGTTTTATAAACATTGTAAAAATAGCATATGAACATACTTTTGGAAGTTCAAATTCATTAGCATTAATAATCCTTGGCTTAAGATTTTTTTCCTTCCAACTGACATCAAAATTAGTAATATTCAATGTCGCATAATTTTGAAAAACAGATCACTCACTTAAGATACCGTGCATGTAGTTTATTAGTGAATTTTTGGAAGCAATTTGGTAAAACTCGGAAGTATATGCTTCTAAGTTTATACATCAACTTCTTTACACAAAAAGTAATATTCAGTAATATAGTTTTATTTTTAGAAGGTTTATATATTTATCAGAACATCACAGCTATAGAAACAGAGACAGGAAGGAAACATAGAGAGAGAAAATCTTCTATCTGTTAGTTCACTTCCCACATGGCTACAATGACCAGCTGAAGTCAGGGGTTAGGGGCTTTTTCTGGGTCTCTCCAAGGACTTGGGTCATATATTGCTACTTTCCCAGGTCACTAGTCGGGAACTGAATCAGAAATGGAGCAGATGGGACTCCAACTGGAATTCACATAAAATGCTGGCATTACAGGTGCTGACTGTACATGCACTCCCACAATGCTGTCCCCTTAGTCATATGATTTTACATCAAACAACATAACTCTCAGACATACGATCCAGTATTTATTTAATAGCCTAGAAATTTAATCACTATATTAGTATATAACAAGAAATTTTAATTTTATTATTGATACAAAATGTATTTTTATTATGATAATACACAGGCATATTTTTGCTTCAAAAGTACTAAAAATATATAAATTACTTCCTGTGTTTAGTGTATCTAATTGATCTAAAGACGTGTAAATTTATAATTTCTGTTCATCTCGAAGTTTTTACAATGTAAGTTTGAAACCCTTAAAATTAGTAGGACATGAAATAAATAATTCACGAACTTTTTTTAAAAACTCAATGAACCATTATTTTTCTTTCTTTACTACACATTTAGCCAGAACTGTCATGAAAACAATGAATTTAATTATTTGGAATTTCTTCTCCCATCCTGTTTCTTACAGCAGAAGTGTTAAATGAGCAGTAAGATATAAAAAGTCAGCCTCCGGTGAAAACTGGAAAATCGAAATTTAGAAATAAAGTTGAAGGGTGGGAATTGTAGTAGTAGTTGAGATGCCACTGTGGACGCCCCAATCCCACTGAGAGTGCCTGGTTCAAGCCCTGCCACACCGCCTTTCCACACAGCTCCTTGCTACTGCGCTTCTTAGTAGGAAGAAAGTGATGGTTCCAATTCTGGTGTCCCTTCTACCCACATGAGAGGCCCAGATTATTTCCAGGTCCTTGGCTGCAGCTTGGCCAAGTCCTGACCCTTGCGACATTTGAGAAGTAAATTAGCTGATAAAAGATCTCTCTGTCCAATTATCTGTCCCCCCCTCTCTTTCTCTGCCCGAAAAGTAAAGTGAAAATAAATAAAATGGTTTTAAAAAGAAATGGAAACTTTTAAGCACATCTTGATAATTTGATACTGTACAATTTCGTTACCTATAATTTCAATATCATGTTTTCTCATAAGTAGCAGAATGTTGGAGTTGTGCCTCTAGATAAAGGACTACATAATTGCAAAAACATGGGGGAAAATGGCGGTGGTGAGGGAGGATGGGTAGTGAGGAAAGTGAGGAAGCCCAAATGGGCTGCAAAACTGTATAATGAAAACTTGAAATAACAAAATTTTGTAAAAGAAATTTTAAAATGAATTCTAAATTAGCATTGCAGAAAAAAAAAACAATTTCCCCTCAATGACTGATTAAGGATACCTAGGTCTTTTTTCCGTAACAACCAATCAACTAATGGCACAGTGACAAATAAGTCCCCTTCATTCTGTGTTTTGTTTTGCGGGGTTTATTTGTTTATTTGTTTTTGTTTTTGTTTTCATTAACCATTTAGACAACATGTATGTGGTCAAACAGCATTAGTTGTGACAATGAAGCTAGACCACCATTTCTACAAACCATTTCACAAGTCAGTCTTCTACTTTGGCCATGTACTCTCCAGGGACTCCACCTGGTTTACGTGTTTAGAAGTATTCATGTTGCTATGAACACGCAAATGTTATCCAAATAACTTCTGGCCAAAACATTTGCCTCGTCTGCTTAAAAGCCTTTCAAGAATAACAAGTTTCCCTTCACACAAGCGTAATTTGAAATACAACAAAATCAGTAATATGTAGCTCTTGCTCTTTATATCAAGTGTACATGTTATATGTACACACATTACACTACATGAACAATATATGTGCAATTTATATTTGTACATATACATATACATGAATGCATGAGTATAATTCCATTTGATTCTCTTGAAAGCTAGTAATATATTTGTTTTATTTTATTTTGTAATTGAAAGTATTAGTAGAGATTACATTAGTTACATATCACAATAGCACACATGTAAGCAATGAATGAGAAAGTTTCTTATAGCTTATTTTTAGATGCTGAAACCCATGTCTTCTAAACAGGCTCAACCTTGAATTAAAAGCTACTGCAGCCTAGATCTCAGTTATAACCTCCCATTCTACCTCCTTAGCCTGCTTCCTATACCCACCCTAACACCCCACCTGCAATCCAGCGCAACCAAGTACAACAGATGACTTTAAGTTCTGATGTGAGTTCTCATAAAACCCCACTGAGAGTCATGGGAGAGAGTATTATCTATAATTAAGAGCTATTTGATAAATCAAAAGATCTCACAAATATAGTTAGTTATATGTTAGTGTACACATTTTAGGAGTTTTTCTTGTGTGTGTGTGTGTTTTTTTTTCATTCTTATTAAGATACAGCAGATACACACTGGAATATACCCAGGGTCTCTTACTTTATGAATTTGCATTACATATCACTTTAATTATGTCTCGTTAGTTTACCAAAAGATTCATCTTCATGAACATTAAATTATAAAACTGATAAATTATTTCAAAATATCTTCAAATGAGACATTAAGAATAATTACAAACTGCATAAATTCTATCAGCATATACTTTGTTAGAGAACACAAAACAAGAAAGTGTAAAATTATATGCCAAACAATTATTCTTCACTCTAGCAATAAAAATTATGTAGTAAATAATTTTTAAATATTTCCATATTTATAATCATACTTACAATCATATTTTCCAAGGCATGCTTTGCCAGCCAACAGTTTAGAAAGACTGGGACAAACAAATTCCTTAAGGCTGGCCAGAATATCTAGAAAACAAACCAAAACTAAATTTTATCTCAATGTAAAAAATTATGCCTAGCAAATGAAAATGAAACATAATACAAAAAATAATTATTAAAGACAATGCAATGATTTAAAATGTGACAAACACCTTCTACTCACTATCAACAAAACACAAGGAACAAATAGGACCTTTCATCACTGAACTTACTGTTCAACAATACGCAGAAACAGATAGAAAATAGTAAATTCTCAATGAATGTCATTTATAGAATGACAGGTTATGACAGACAATGGCTCTCTTTCTTCTAAGTTGAGTGAATAAGTAAGAATGAGAGGAAAACAGCCGTTTCAGTAACAGTATCATTTATTTCCTTTGGATTTCACCATTTTAAGTGACATTAAGGAACTATGTTCAATTGGAGTTATGTTTACTTAGCTTGTCATTTAATCTAATGGCAACTGTTCCTCGAGACAAATCACTCAAATTATAACAAGTGTCAGAAGTAAGCAAGAACTTCAGATAACATTGCTTATTGTCAGCATTTCCCAAATTCAAGTAAAGTGCTAGAAAGTATGACCCAGCAGACATTATTATAACTCTATCAAACTTAGAACAAAATCTAATTTTGCAAATGAGAAACTGCCGAGCTATGTATTTACAGGACTGCGGACTAATAGGATCATTGTGAAATTGGCACTACACAGTACTCTGATAAAGAAGCAAATTGCTGGTTGTCTCTAGTTCTTGGCAACTTTCCTACTAAAGACAGAATTAGAGTTGGTAAATCTTGTAGTGAAACAAGAAATAAACATATTCCCAGTATGCAAACCTTCATCAATATCTAAGATCCACTGTTCTCCACTTTTTTTTTTAAATCCAAAACACAATCAAGAATAATTTCCAGCCTTTTCAGACAACACTAACATTTGTTCAAATGGCACCTCATCAATAATATTCCTGAAAATATCTCATTTTTCTATTTTTCTCAATCTCTTTGGTTTTTCATACAATTACACAATCCTGTTTTTCAATCATTTCTTAGTAGCATGATACTGACCAATCCAAATCAATTTATTTGTTACTCTTTTATTTAGCATTATTTACATTTAAAACTTCTCATAAGTTCAATGACAAAAACATAAATGTATTTTGGACTCACTGAAATAATGAAGGGTACTGCGTTAATTATTTCCAAGATGAAGGGCATCCGTAAAATCTGTTCCCAGATGTTTCCCTTTGGAGAAAGAATATACAAAAATTAAAGTGAACTACAATCAATTGTACTAAGGGGGGAAAGACAACAATCGGTTTCTGTGGCAGTAAGGAAGTTCACAACCACAGAACACTAAGTAACTATACAGAGATTAAGCTACAAATTCTAAATGTTGTCTTTCTACGGGTGATTGTCTTCTCTGTTTTGTAGTACATTTAGCAAGACAAATATTCTTAGCCCATGAATATTGCACATGAATTTGGAATCATGCAGTAAGTCATAGAAGAAAAGTTACCAAAACATTAACTAGATCTGAAGATTTTATTCTGAAGTGATTCAATCTCAATTTTAAAATAATAGTCACTAACTGTAAAGCACACAGAAAATACATGCAAGTTAATCACTGCTCATAATATTACCTTTTTTTTTTTTGCATCCTTTAACAGAATTTAGGGAAACTTTAGAGAACTAAGATAACTTTAACAGTACTTAGAACAACTTCCATTCACCCAGCTCACAATCTCCTGGCTTCAGTTCAGCTCAGCTCAGGCCGTTGCAGCCACTTGGGGAGTGAGTCAATAGAAAGAAGATCTTGCCCTCTGTCTTTCTTCTTCTCTGTACATACGATTTTCCAATAAAAATAATAACTAGATATTTTTAAAAGCAATGATACACATAACACAATGCCAGCTCAAATACTGCCTGCTCTACTTCAATTTTCCACTTGCAACTTCTTGCTAATGTGTTAGGGAAGGCAACAAGAGATGGTCCAAGTCTCTGCAATTCTACCAACCATGTTGGAGACCAGGATAAAGTTGCTGGCTGCTGGTTTTGCCTGGCTCTCTCCGTGGCTATCTCTCTCTTATAGTTTCAAATAATTACATATATGTGTAAATGAATGAATTATTAAATTAGTAAAGAGCAAACACATCGGGCCCGGCGCGGTGGCGCAAGTGGTTAAGTCCTCGCCTTGCACGCCCGGGATCCCATATGGGCGCCAGTTCTAATCCCGGCAGCCCCGCTTCCCTTCCAGCTCCCTGCCTGTGGCCTGGGAAAGCAGTTGAGGACGGCCCAAAGCTTTGGGACCCTGCACCCGCGTGGGAGACCCGGAAGAGGCTCCTGGCTTCGGATCGGCATAGTATCGGCCCGTTGGGGAGTGAATCATCGGATGGAAGATCTTCCTCTCTGTCTCTCCTCTCTGTATATCCGCCTTTCCAATAAAAAATAATAAAAATAAATCTTTAAAAAAAAAAGAGCAAACACATCTTTATAAGATGAAACAGGAAAGAAACAGAAGACTACAATAAAAGCAAATGAATTTCTCTCATTTTTAACACAAACATGTCATTTCTTGGGAACCAGATACAGAGTCTACAGAATGGAACCCTTGATCACTGTTAAGCAATTCAGAGTCAAGAAGACAGAATGCCTGGCCATGAATGAGACCTCAACAGGTGGGAAATCTCCAAAGCTCAAGGTGAGTTTCAAAGCTGTAGAGGATGGCCTGAAGCCTAAAGGCCTACAAGGAGATGCCGACAGATGCCTCCTTGGACTACAAAGACCCTAAGAGAGATGAAGAGGCAGAACAAAAACCAGTCATGCAGAGTGATCCACCTCCAGGCCATGCTTGCAACAAGCAGCAATCTCACCCACATGCTAACAGCACTTTATTTTCAGCTCTTCCAAAATCAGTCGATACCAAGGAAGAAAAAAAAGTGAAAATAAAATAGAACCCCATGTAGGTATGGACTAAAGACAAGCTGACATGTCAATGGACACACATTTTTTAGATTACTTTATATATCAATCATAGGTTCTTTTTTAAAATATATTTTACCTAAGGGATGCCATGGTGGCATAATAAGCTAAGCCTCCACCTACAGTGCCAGCATCCCGTATGATCACCAGTTTGGGTACTGGCTGCTCTAGTTTTGTTTTAGTCCCCTACTTGCTTGTGGCCTTGGAAAGCAGCAATGACCCAAAGCCTTCGGATGCTGCACCTGCGTGGGAGACCTAGAAGAAGCTCCTGTCTCCTGGCTTCAGCTCAGCTCAGCTCCGGCCAGTGTGGCAACTGTGGGAGTAAACCAGTAGATAGGAATATGCACTCTCTCTCTCCCTTTCGCCCTTTCTCTATGTAAATCTTTCTTCCAAATAAAAATAAATTATTTCAAAAAAACATTTCATTGAAATACATTAAACACATGAAAAAAGGCATATAAGTATTTAAGCAAATGAATTTTATTCAGTTTTATTCTCTTATCTGGGGTATTTAATATTCAGAAATATTATAAAATTACATGGATTTATATAATTTATTAAATAAATATTACTTCACTGAGTCATAACATATAAATGATTTTATTATTTCCCCTGTTTAAAGAAAAATAAATGAAGAGGAAGGATCACAGTTTGTAAAACATGGAGATAAGATTTGTGTTGTGAATGAAGACCAGAAAGCTAAGGGTACTGTGTGAGCTTTCAGGTGATCAGCACGAATCAGAAGGAAAATGCACGAAGTCGAACAAGTACAGGAAGACAAGTCCATTCTTTCTTACTAGCACTAAATCAGGACAGTTCAGTAAACGACTTAATATTGAATTTAGTGATGTCACGTGTTATTTCCCAATTTTGCAAATCAATAATATTTCTACAGATGGCCCAGTTTTCAGAGTGCTTAATACTGGCTTACTCTTTGTTGCATTTTCACTTGTCAGTAGGTACCCTTGCGTCAATCATTGCTCATGAGAAAAATGATTAATCTGATCATCAAGGGGGAAAAAAGGGTAGGTACTAGTCATTAGCAGTAATCAAGAAGACTGTATCACACAAAAATACTAGTGTTAAGGACTCATGTCATGGGTGGCAAGTTAAGACACAGCTTTTGACACCAGCATCCCATACGGGCACCTACTTATTTTCTGGCTGCTCCACTTACTATCTGGCTCCCTGCTAGTGGCTTGGTAAAAGCAGTGGAAGGCGCTCCAGGTGTTTAGGACCCTATCTATAGGAAACATGGAAGAGGCTCCTGGCTCCTGGCTTCAGCCTGGCCCTGGTCATTTGTGGCCCTCTGGGGAGTGAACAAATGGACAGACAATCTTTCTCCTGCTCTCCTTTCCTTACTCTGTCTTTACGATTAGTATTAGACTAGATTGGTTCTATGTCTGATTTATCTTCCATGTAAATTCAGAGAATTTTTTCTATTATATCAATGTCTCTTTGCCAACATAACATCCAAACTCACCATTGAGCTCTGCTTAATTCAACTACAGATTCATTTTTACTGAATTTTGTATAGTTCCCTGGACAGGCTAGGCTGTTTCATCATTCTATCAAAATGCTTAGATTATTCCCTGTGGTTAAGATGCCCTACTCAAATGTCTATAACACTTATCTCCTTGGCAAGTATTTGTAACATGGTGCTGAATCTATTCCTTTAGATCCTAGTTGGGGCTCAATTCAGTATGTCAGTGGATAGATACAGCACTCAATTCTTTTACACATACCTTTTCTTCAGTACAACTGGTTTATTTTTTAACTTAGAGATTCATATATCTATCAAGTACAAATGGAAAACATTTGAAGAAATCATATTAATCAAAACCTCCTTGAATGTAGTTTTCCATCTATTATTGAACTTGTGAACACGGAATTCAATAGAGATTTTCTGGGAAAAAAAACTTCAAGAATCCTTACCTATCAAGAAATTTCATGTTTCACCTGCGACCTATAGCCAATAGCAAAACAATGATTTCTAATGTTCTATCTCTAGCCAAGATCAATGTTAGATCTCTGAGATTCTAAGATCAACTGCCTAATCTATTGCTTCATGATGATATCTCAAAAGAACCCTGTATGTAATGTGCCTAATTTATTTTTGGTCTCAAAAAAAACCAAAAAAAGTCCTGGAGAAACACTTTGTACATCTGTATACCCATCACACACTATTGAAACTTGATTTGGCAGCAAGATCTACTGATTCATAAATCATATTTGAAATTTTGTAATTCTAATTCTAACTCAATTTCCACTCTTTGACCTAGTTAAGCCTCCTGATTAATTGCTGTTTGTTTATTCTTGACGATTCCAATGCTCTTGCTATACTATAAGATTTCCAAAGGCACACTTAATTTATCATTTGCCTATTACCTCACTTCAACTCATGCTCACTACCTTGAAACTTTAAAACTATTTATATAGTTTCATTTTAAAAAGGCAAAAATCCAACTGCAGTCTTAAAGGCAGCATCCCATTTGACTGTCTCTGACCTCTCCACCCCTACTCTACAGACTTTCTTCTATAAAAATTTCAGTTCTTAGCGTTTGGTTTAGATTGCATATAACTCTTCAAGAGGCTTGAAAAATCTCCACCTTTCTTTTCAACGTTACAATATCTCATTAACTCATACAGGCCTTTCAATTACAGACTCAGAACCTTGCAAATGTTTAAACCTTCTTTCACTCCTTCATCAAATCACTCTCCTCAAGATGTGACCTACACATCAGGCTTTTCGATTCTCCCTAAATTTGTTTCCCTTCCTGTATTACATTTTCCACCCTTTTCAGCTGGCATGTACATGATTAATGCATACAGCATTAAACTCTGTGACATAAAGTTCAACATGAGTGTAGTTCAGGATTGTATGTTCTGCTTGGCATTAAAGTCTGAAGCTCTTAATTAAAAACTATCACCGCCTTTCATCAACCATGCTTTTGCTGACTCACAGAATAAGTGTGCCTATGTGAATACGTTTCCCATCAAGGACTAATTTTCTAAAATTGTACAGTGGGGCAATGTACTGACTACCAAAAATAGCTGTGTATGTTTTCAGTTGCATTCACTAGGTTTAATTCTAATGTCAGGGCTTGTATTCTGAATGCAGAATAAGTATTCATAAATTAACTCCCCTAAAAATAGCTACTGGAAAATACAAAAAGGGGCCATAAGTTTCATTGGCTGAGAAAGAGTCTCAGCGGGGCTGCATCCTGACTGGCCACAAGAGAGGGGCAATTATGATGAGTAGG